TTTGGTTAATAGCATTCTTTTCTTGTGATGTCTGTGTCCAGATTTGGTATAGATTAAAACTAGTCTCATACAATATGTTGGGAAACGGCCCTTCAACGTTTTTGGGAAAAGTTTGTGAAGGATTGCTATTAATTCTTGTTTGGCAAAATTCAACAGATTATATTTTTAATGTTAAAAATGAGAAATATCTTTTACATTCAGCCACATGTTTACTCTTTCTTTACTCCATTCTTTTATGTAGATCCATATTTCATCTGGTATCATGTTCCATTTGTATGAAGACCTTACTTTATTTAATATTTATCATAGTGCAGGTTTGCTTGTGATAAATTCCCTCAGCTTTTGTTTCAAAAACACAACTTTTGAAAGTTTGTGTGTGTGTGTTTCATGTTTACTTATTTATTTTGAGAGAGAGGAGGGGCAGAAAGAGAGGGAGAGAATATCAAGCAGGCTCCACGCTCAGTGCATAGCGCAACATGGGGCTCAGTATTACAACCATGAGATCATGACCTGACCTGAAAGCAAGAGTGAGATGCTTAACTGACTGAGCTACCCAGGTGCTTGTGTGTGTGTGTGTTAATTTCAGCATTTTTAGAATGTCACACCTTTGACCTCTGGCTTGCAGTTTCTGACAAAGTTCTGCTGTCATTCTTATCTGTGTTCCTTGATATGTAATGTGTCTTTTTGCATGGATGCTTTTTCCCTTTCTTTCTTTCTTTCTTTCTTTCTTTCTTTCTTTCTTTCTTTCTTTCTTTCTTTCTTTCTTCCTCTCTCTCTCTTTCTTTCTTTTCCTTCCTTCCTCCCTTCTTTCTCTCTCCCTTCCTTCCTCTCTCTCTTCCTTCCTCTCTTTCTTCCTTTTCTTTCCTTCCTTCCTTCCTTCCTTCCTTCCTTCCTTCCTTCCTTCCTTCCTTCCTTCTCTCTCTCTCTTTCTTCCTTTCTTTCTTTCACAATTTACCATAATTTGCCTTGGTGTGGCTTTCTCTATGTTTATTCTCCCTACGGTTCAGTGATTTTCTTACATGTGTGGGTTTGCGGTTTCATCAATATTTGTCTTTCTCTGAATGAGTTATTTCACTAAGCATAAACACTCTCGCCCCATCTGTATCATTGCAAATGGCAAGATTTCATTCTTTTTGATGGCTGAGTAACAGTCCATTGTGCGCATATATCCCATCTTCTTTATCCATTCATCGGTCGATGGAGATTTGGGCTCTCTCCATACTTTGGCTACTGTTGATAACGGTGCTGTAAATATCGGGGCGCATGTACTCCTTTGAATATATTTTTTGTGTCCTTTGGGTAAGTACCTGCTGGCACAATTGCTGGATCACGGGGTAGGCCTATTTTTAGCTTTTTGAGGAACTTCGTCCTGTTTTTCAGAGTGGCTGCAGCAGTTTGCATCCCCACCAACAGTACTAGAGGGTTTCCCTTTCTCCACATCCCTTGCCAACGTCTGTTGTTTCCCGTGTTGTTAATTTTAGCCATTCTGACAGGTGTGAGGTGGCATGTCATCGCGGTTCTGATTTGGAACCTGATGAGATGGATGACGTGGAGCATCTTTTCACGTGTCTGTTAGCCATCTGGATGTCTTCTTTAGAAAAATGTGTATTCATGCCTTCTGCCCATTTTTTAGCTGGATTATTTGGGTTTTGGGTGTTGAGTTTGATAAGTTCTTTGTAGATTTTGGATATTAACCCTTTATTAGATATGTCAATTGCAAATATCTTCTCCCATTCTGTAGGCTGCCTTTTGGTTGTTGAGTGTTTCCTTTGCTGTGCAGAAGCTTTTTATCTTGATGAAATCCTAACAGTCCATTTTTGCCTTTGTTTCCCTGGCTTCCAGCGATGTGTCTGGTAAGAAGTTGCTCCTGCTGAGGTCAAAGAGGTTGCTGTCTGCTTTCTCCTCTATGATTTTGATGGTTTTATGTCTCACATTTTAGGTCTTTCATCCATTTTGAATTTATCTTTGTGGGTCCAATTTCATTCTTCTGCATGTTGCTGTCCCTTTTTCCCAACACTATTTGTTGAAGAGACTGTCATTTTTCCATTGGATACTCTTTCCTGCTTTGTTGGAGATAGTTGAACATATAGTTATGGGTCTATTTCTGGGTTTTCTATTCTGTTCCATTGATCTCTGTGTCTGTTGTTTTGCAAGTACCATATTGCCTTGATGACTACAGCTTTGTAATATAGCTTGAAGTCCAGAATCATGATGTCTCCAGCTTTGCATTTCTCATTCAGTATTGCTTTGGCCATTTGGGATCTTGTGTGCCTCCATACGAATTTTAAGATTGTTTGTTCTAGCTCTGTGAAAAATGCTGTTGGTATTTTAATAGGTATTGCACTAAATATGTAGATTTCCTTGGGTAGTATAGATCCATTAACAATGTTTTTTCTTGGGTATTATAGACATTAACAATGTTTGTTCTTCCAAACCATGAGCATGGAGTGTTTTTCCAGTTCCTTGGGTCCTCTTCAATTTCTTTCAGAAGCATTCTATGGTTTTAGTATATGTGCTGCTGAAGCGAGCACAGCATTCTATGATTGTCAGAGTACAGGTCTTTTACCTCTTTGGTTAGGCTTATTTTTAGGTATCTTGTGGGTTTTGCAATCAGTTCTTTGGTTCTTTTTCTGCTGCTTCATTATTGGTGTATAGAAATGCAACAGTTTTCTGTATGTTGATTTTATATCCTGTGATTTTGCTGAATTCATGCACTAGTTCTAGCTATATTTTTGGTGGAGTTTTTCAGGTTTTCTACATGGAGTATCATGTCACCTGCAAATAGTGAAGGCTTGATTTTTTCCTGGCCAGTTTGGCTGACTTTTGTTTCTTTTTGTTATCCGATGTTCATTTTATTCTTAGTCATTTTGTCTTTTTTTTCCATTTTAAATAGTTTCTATTGCTATGTCTTCATGTTCTCTTATCTTTTCTTCTATGTCTAATCTATTAGACAGTGAATTTTTTGTTTTATGTATTATATTCTTCCTCTATAGAAGTTCCATTTAGGTCTTCTTTATATCCTTTGTTTCACTTTCATCCTGTTCATGTTTTCCTTTTTATCTTCAATTATAATTAAAATATTTTTAAAAACCATTTAAAGTTCTACTTTTTTCCTCATCCCTACCAGATCTTCTATTCACTGATTTTTCTCCTGGCTACGGATTTTTCTTGTTTCTTAGCGTGTCTAATAAATTTTTATTGGGTGCTTTACATTTTTAATTTTACACAGGTAACTGTTGGATTTCATTGTCTTCCTTTAAAGAGTATTGGGCTTTTTCTGGAGTTACTTTTTGATGTTTGATCATTTTAAGATTTGTTTTTAAACTTTTGTAGTGCAGGTCTAGAGTGGCCTTTATTCTGGAACTAACGTTCCCTACTGAATGCCCTTATAGTCAGTCAACCAGGTCTCTCCACTCTGGCTGGAAGGAATGTAGATGATTTCTGTCCCATTATGAACATTGCAGAAAAATGTTCATCTTTTAGATCCTTAGTTATTATTCTTTCTTGGGAAGTTATTCTTGCCTCACTTCTTGGAGTTTCATGATATATTTTCTCAGATTATTATTCAGCTAAAAATACTCAAGGGGACCATATGCAGACTTCTGGAGGTTTGTTTACTTTTGTTTGCATACCTCTGTTCTTTCCAGGACTCTGCCCTTCAAATTCTAGCTGCCTTCTCCTCCCTTAGCCATGATCTCTCGCTCCTCGACTTGGTGGGATCTCTGGACTCCCCATATCCTGTACCCTGGTGACTGCCACTAGGGAGTAAGCTGGGGCAGGCATAAGATTTGACCCATGTGTTTCCCTTTGTTCAATGATCACAATCCTTCAATGCCTGTGGTCCAGTGTCTGAAAATAGCGGCTCATATGTTTTGTCCGGTGTTTTAGTTGCCTACAGTATGAGAATATTCTGGCCTATCTTCCTCCTGCATAGTCAGAAGCTCAAGTCCCCAGGAGGTCTGTGTGTGTTTAAGCAGACAAGGCTCTGCTAGCTGGTCTGCATTATAGCGGCAGCTGTTTGTGCTTCCACCAGCAATGCCTGAGGTGTCTTGTGGGAGTGTGGATGTATCGAGCTAGAACTCTAAAGCCGACTGCCCCTCTTCATTTCCTGCCCTTTCTCCCTTACCTTTTTGAAGAAAACATGTGAGCATTACTGGGACTGAGAACAGGAAGCACTACGATTGGACTATTGTGCATCAGGCTGGTAAACTGGAGCAGAGATGGGAACGGTGTTTTATGGAGCCTTGAATGTTGTGGGAGGTTTCACAGAAGTTTCTCAAGGTGGAAAGCTTTTAGGCTGAGGCTAAAAGGATGAATAGTTTTCCTACAGCCCTCTCACACTGATTAGTATACAAATAGTCAGAACTCAATATATGCCTTGATTTTGCATTTTAACTATGATCATGATTATCTCTGTTAGACAAATGTGCCTTGTTAGGTTCTTATTTTAAGAACTCAGGAAAACCTCTCACCTCAAGTCATACATACAGTTAGTACATGGTAAGTGCAATAAAACTCTTGTAGAAGAAAAGAAATCTCTATTTTTCACTATAAATGAGCTTGCTGGGGTTTTAATCATATCCTTCTTTCCCTCCTCCAGCAAATGTTTCCTTCAGGAAAGCCATGGAGGATGTTTTAGCTGAATGCATTTTGAAAATAACGTCGTTTATGGGCACCTGGGTGGCTCAGTCGGTTGAGCGTCCGACTTTGGCTCAGGTCATGATCTCACGGTTCGTGGGTTTGAGCCCTGTGTTGGGCTCTGTGCTGACAGCTCAGAGCCTGGAGCCTGCTTCACATTCAGTCTCCCTCTCTCTCTGACCCTCCCTGCTCACGCTGTCTCTCACTCTCTCAGAAATAAATAAAACATTAAAAAAATAATAAAAAAATAATGTTGTTTGACTTTGATTTTTTTAGTCAGAAATGCTTTGTTTTATGTAAATGTCTTTTGGCACTTGTGGTCTTTGTTCTCCCTTCTCTTCTCACCTGTCCCACATCCTCAGAAAAGGGAGACATGGCTGAATGCAGGCATCATACTCAGGACACTTTAGGTCACCTTTCAGAAGGTACTGAAAAGAGAGGAAGAGGCTCCCATATGGGGAGAGTTGTTTTCTGTCTCCATTTTCTCATCTGTAAAGTGGGCATTAGCAATAGTACTTATTTCCTCAGTTATTATCTGTTGGGTTTAAATGAAAGATGTTTAGAGCTAAGCCTGACATGTAGTAGCTGCTCAGTATATGTTTGTCTGTTTGCCCCTGTTTTCCTGTGTTTCAGGAATGCCATTCTGTGTACCAGCTGCAATATATGTCCTGGCCAGGCAGAGGAGTCCCTAGCAATCCTGAACATGTGCTCACCATGGTGAAGGAAGCCCTTCGCCTCCAGGGATATGTCCCCAGGCCCCTCTGAAGGGGCCACTGAAGGTTTAAGAAATGGGTTTTATGGGGGTCTGGTGAGACAGAGGTGACTGGGAGTGGGAATAGGAGGCAAGGAGGCCATTGAACAACTTGGAGCCAGTCTTGCAGTTCGTGGTTCGAGTGCCTCTTTTGAGAAGCCTAAGAGTGCCTCTTTTGAGAAGCCTAAGGCTACAGTTGCTCACCACATCAACTGAAATTTAGCGTTTATTGAGCACCGACTGCCTGCTGGGGAGTAAGCACACAGTTGATGCTCAACAAATGAGAGCAATTAAAAAGTTTTTTCTTTTAAATTGTAAACTGGGGATTCTGAGAATCAAAAGGTGCTGCAGGGGATCCCCATTAGGGCCCCCACTCAAACTCCCAAATGCCCCATACGAAAGGGCTGTGGGCAGCTCCTGACCGAGCTTACTCTTGTTCTTGCTTGTCAGTGCAGGTTGTGGGTGAACAGGCGTCCTGTGCACGGTGGATTATGTAAAACAGTTGCTCCTCACTCAGGTATGACTAGGGCATAGGTGTGCTAGTGTGCAAGCAGGTCCCATGCCCACCAAGTCCTGCGCATGTGTCCTGTGCTCTGTGCTCCAGATGATCCCACCTAACTGCAGCCTCTTTGACATGGTCCTGGAGATGAGGACGCAGCAGCCTGTGGCTGTGCAGACAGAGGTGAGAGCCTTAGTCTCCTCAATCCAAGGACACATGCCTCTTCCTCTTGTCTTCTCTTTTTGATGATTCCTCTTCCCCCACCAGGAGCAGTACAGGTACAGGAACCTGGTAGCTCACATGTTCTTCTCAGCACTCCAAACCTCCAGCCCTTTACCGGAACTTCAAGGAGGTACCCAAGCCCCCTTCCGACCGTCTTCCTGTCCACCATCCCCGCAGCATCTACCACGGACTCCCTCTGGGAGCAGGGACTGACTATATCTACCTCCGTCTCCTCCCTGCTACCTTATCAGACTATTCCTCCTACGCATACCCCCAGAGTCCACGGCGACTTCCATCAGGGCTCTGGAAACTTTTCTCCAAGCCTCACACCCCTCCCCCTCCTGTCTGTCCTTAGAATTGTGCCCCACTCCACCCTGACACGCTTTCCTTCCAGACTTCCTGGACCCTTCCCCCCAAACCCCATTACCCCGTGAGGTCTTCAGGTACCCAGCTCTATCTCCTCTTTCTTCCCTTTTCAATTTCTCATGCCCAGAGGCTAACCCTTTCCACCCTTTAAACACCAGCCCCTTCCCTGCTCTTCAATTTACCAAATACTCACTGGCTCGCTCTTTGAATGGACTCTGGGAACCTGCCCCCAGATGACACTTTGATCCTAGATCTCGTTGCCTCTGCTTCTAAGGTCGCCTCTATGTCAGCCCTTTCCTTGCTTCCCCAGTCATTAGTTTAGAAAAAAATTTTTTTTTTTTTTTTTTACAAATAGTTTATTGTCAAGTTGGTTTCCATATAACAACCAGTGCTCACCCCCACAAGCAGCAAATGTTTCTTGACGCAGCCCACTTGCCAGGCCTCGCGTCAGGTGCTGGGGACACAGTCAACCTTCCTTGGCAGCGGAGACTTCACCCCTCGTCTCTAAGACTGGCTCTCCATTTTGGGGCCCACCCTCCCAGCACTTTAGATGCCACTTCCTCATTCCTTTATTCAAACATTTGCACAGAAATGACTACCCCGCAGTACCAGTGCCAGGCTGGCCCTTCGCCTTTATCCCCCTAACCGGCCAGGCTCTCGGGACTCGGTATCTCCCCGTCTCTCCCCGTCTCTCTGTCTCTCCGTCTCTCTCCCGGCCGGCCTCGGGCGCGAAGGAAGCCGGCGGTTTGCGCGCCGAGAGCGCTCTCCACCCCTCCCTCCCGGGCCCCGCGGCTGCACTTCCTCCCCGCCCGCAGCAGCACCTCGGCGCCGGCCCGGCTCCCGCCATGGCCGACACGGTCACGTACGCGGTGGTGCAGAAGCGCAGGGCGGCCCCGGGGCCCGGGGCGGGCGCGCCGGGGCGCGGCGCGGAGGAGGCGCCGCTCTACAGCCAGGTGACGCCGCGCGCGCAGCGGCCGCAGGCGCCCGCCGAGGACGCCCGGGGGGCGCCGCCCGGCCGCGGTGAGTGGGGCGGCCGGGGTGCGGGCGGGGCGGGGGGGGCAGCGGTCCCGCGCCGGACCCCGTCTTGGGGGGGGGGCGCTGGCGGCCGCGGGGACCACGGCCAGCTGCGCTCGGCGGCGCCCCGGCCACGCCCCCGCGACGGGCCCGGCCGCGGGCACAGCCGGAAGTGCCGAGGCCTGGCCGTGGGCCGCGGGCTGGTGCGTTTCTCCCGCGACCCCGGCTCGGCGGGCGGACGTGCCCCGTCGCCCCGCGCCTGCCGCCCGGCCCTCGGCCTCGGCCCCCACGCCGGGAGCGCGGGGGCCGAGGCTCTGCCGCGGGGCGGGCCCCGGAGCCCCGCGGGGCGGCCCGAACCGATCCGCGCCGGGGGTGCTTTCTGCCCGCAGGTCCGTCTGACCAGAGGCCCGCCGGGCCTGACGCCTACGAGGACGTGGTGGATGGAGTTCAGACCAGCGGGCTGGGTAAGTCCAAGCCTGGGTTGCCGGGTCACCGCAGCTTTGACCGAAACCAGGAGTTGGGGGTTTAGGGATGGGGCATGGGGGTCCCACTCTCCGCGTCCTGTGGATGTGGCTGCAGTAAGTCACAAGGGCCTGGAGGCTTGAGGACGCCCTTCCACGCATGTCCACGCCTCAGCTTCTCCACGAAACCCACGGTACCCTTCTTCCAGGCTTCAACCTGCGCATTGGAAGGCCTAAAGGGCCCCGGGACCCCCCTGCTGAGTGGACCCAGGTGTGAGTGCCGCACCCCTGCCCGCCTGTTGCCCCGCATGGCCCCCTGGACTGCTGACGGCCATTCTCTGCTGTGTGAAGGGTTGGGAATGGGAATGATGGTCGTGGATGAAAATAAAAGTTTCTCAGGGTGGAAATATGGGGCTTCGCCCCAGTGATTATAGCATTTAGGGCCTGAGGCTGGGGGAGGTAGCTGGAAAATAAATGGCTAGTGAGGCCACACTGAAAAGATTCAAGAATAAACATCAGGAATGAGCCCAACCCCAGGGTAGTAGGCAGGTTCCCCCAGGCGCGAAGGAGAAGGTGGACAGATGGGCTTCTGGAGACTGCCCCCGTCACTACGGCATGGACTGCTTCAGCTCGGTATCTGAGCCTCCCTCCCTCAGACATTCAGCTGGACACAGAGAAATGGGTGGGCCCTAAAAAACACTGATGGCTGCTCCTCCCTGCCCGGCACCGTTCAGAGAGATCCAAGCCAGGCATGACAACCAAGCAGACTGATATCAGACAGGTAAAAAGGTCCCCAGATGGGTACACAGGTAGATGGGCCCCCAGTCAGGACAAGTACATAGCCACACAGCTAGACACCCAGACTTTCAGAGAGACGGTCCGCAGCCAGATGGATGGACCTCCAGTCAGAGAAATAGATCAACTAACAGATCACTCCCCCAAGAGAAACCATCCAAAAGACCCCTCTCCCAGACAGGCAACCAAATACCAGCCCGATGGACTCCTAGGTGGACAGACTCCCAGACAGAAACAAATCTCTAGCTGAACAGACACACAGACATCCTCTCAGCTAGACAGACCCCCCTCCAAGTGAGCAGACAGACTGACAGACCTAGTCAAACAGACTTCCAAGTAGCCAGATGGACTCCTAGCCAGCCAGCCAGAGCCTTGATTGCACAGACACCCCAACCAGCCAGACAGCCTTCCAACTAGGCAGATAGATGGACTTCTAGACAGGTGGCTAGTCCCCATCAACTTATCAGTTCCACAAGGCCCACATTTTATTTTTAAAAAAATTTTATTAATTTTTTAAAAATTTACATCCAAGTTAGAATATAGTGCAACAATGATTTCAAGAGTAGATTCCTTAATGCCCTTCGCGCATTTAGCCCATCGCCCTCCCACAACCCCTTTAGTAACCCTCTGTTTGTCTCCATATTTAAGAGTCTCTTATATTTTTGTCCTCCCTGTTTTTATATTATTTTTGCTTCTCTTTTGTTCATCTGTTTTGTGTCTTAAAGTCTTCATATGAGTGAAGTCATATGATATTTGCCTTTCTTTGACTAATTTTGCTCAGCATGACACCCTCTAGTTCCATCCATGTAGTTGCAAATGGTAAGATTTCATTCTTTTTGATTGCTGAGTAACACTCGGTTGTGTGTGTGTGTGTGTGTGTGTGTGCGTGCGCGCGTGCACACCACATCTTCTTTATCCATTCACCCATCAATGGACATTTGGGCTCTTTCCATACTTTGGCTATTGTTGATAGTCCTGCTATAAACATTGAGGTGCATGTGTCCCTTTGAAACAGCACACCTGTATCCCTTGGATAAATACCTAGTAGTACAATTGCTGGGTCGTAGGGTGGTTCTATTTTTAATTTTTTGAGGAAACTCCATACTGTTTTCCAGAGTGGCTGCACCAGTTTGCATTCTCACCAGCAGTGCAAAAGAGATCCTCTTTCTCCTCGCCAGCATCTGTTGTTGCCTGAGTTGTTGATTTTAGCCATTCTGACAGGTGTGAGGTAGTATCTCATTGTGGTTTTGATTTGTATTTCCCTGATGATGAGTGATGTTCAGCATCACAGCATCATTTCATGTGTCTGTTGGCCATCTGATGTCTTCTTTGGAGAAGTTTCTGTTCATGTCTTTTGCCCATTTTTTCACTGGATTGTTATTTTTTTTGACTATTGAGTTCGGTAAGTTCTTTATAGATTTTGGATGCCAACCCTTTATTTGACATGTCGTTTGCAAATATCTTCTCCCATTCTGTCGGTTGCCTTTTAGTTTTTGCTGATTGTTTCTTTTTTTTTTTTTTTTTTAATTTCTAGGAGAGAGAGAGACAGCGTGAGCAGAGGAGGGTCAGAGAGAGAGAGAGGGAGTCACAGACTGAAACAGGCTCCAGGCTCTGAGCTGGCAGTCAGCACAGAGCCCGACGCGGGGCTCGAACCCACGAACTGCGAGATCATGACCTAAGCGAAAGTCGGACGCTTAACCGACTAAGCCACCCGGGCGCCCCGCTGATTGTTTCTTTTGCTGTGCAGAAACTTTTTATTTTGAAGAGGTCCCAATAGTTCATTTTTGTTTTTGTTTCCCTTGCCTCTGGAGATGTGTTGAATAAGAAGTTGCTGTGGCCAAGGTCAAAGAGGTTCTTGTCTGCTTTCTCCTCTAGGATTTTGATGGCTTCCTGTCTTACATTTAGGTCTTTCATCCATTTTGAGTTGGTTTTTGTGTGTGGTGTAAGGAAGTGATCCAGGTTCATTTTCCTGCATGTCGCGGTCCAGTTTTCCCAGCACCACTTGCTGAAGAGACTGTCTTTATTCCATTGGATATTCTTTCCTGCTTTGTCAAAGATTAGTTAGCCATACATCTGTGGGTCCATTTCTGGGTTCTCTATTCTGTTCCATTGATCTGATCATCTGTTTTTGTGCCAGTACCATACTGTCTTTATGATTACAGCTTTGTAATACAGCTTGAAGTCTGGGGGTGTGATGCCTCCTGCTTTGGTTTTCTTTTTCAAGATCGCTTTGGCTATTTGGAGTCTTTTCTGGTTCCATACAAATTTTAGGATTGTTTGTTCTAGCTCTGTGAAGAATGCTGGTATTATTTTGATAGGGATTGCGTTGAATATGTAGATTGCTTTGGGTAGTATTGACATTTTAACCATATTTGTTCTTTCTATCCAGGAGCATGGAATATTTTTCCATTTTCTTGTGTCTTCAATTTCCTTCATCAGCTTTGTGTAGTTTTCAGTGTATAGATTTTTCACCTCTTTGGTTATGTTTATTCCTATGTATTTAATGGTTTTTGGTGCAATTGTAAATGGAATCAATTCCTTGATTTCTCTTTCTGTTGCTTCATTGTTGGTGTATAGGAATGCAACCAATGTCTGTGCATTGATTTTATATCCTGCCACTTTGCTGAATTCCTAGATCAGTTCTAGCATTTTTTTGGTGGAATCTTTTGGGTTTTCCGTATAGAGTATCATGTCATCTGCAAAGAGTGAAAGTTTGACCTCCTCCTGGCCGTTTTGGATGCCTTTTATTTCTTTGTGTTGTCTGATTGCTGAGGCTAAGACTTCCAATACTATGTTGAATAACAGTGGTGAGAGTGGACATCCTGTCTTGGTCCTGAACTTATTGCGAAAGCTCTTGGCTTTCCCCCCATTGAGATATTAGTGTTGGGTCTTTCATATATGGCTTTTATGATCTCAACTTATGATCCTTCCATCCCTACTTTCTTGAGGATTTTTATCAAGAAAGATGCTGTAATTTGTCAAATGCTTTCTCTGCATCTGTTGAGAGGATCATGTGGTTCTTGTCCTTTCTTTTATTGATGTGATGAATCACATTGCTTGTTTTGTGGATATTGAACCAGCCCTGCATCCCAGGTATAAATCCCACTTGGTCATGGTGAATAATTTTTTTTGATGTATTGTTGGATCCAGTTGACTCATATCTTGTTGAGGATTATTGCATCCATGTTTATCAGGGAGATTGGTCTATAGTTCTCTTTTTTGGTGGGGTCTTTGGTTTTGGAATCAAGATTATGCTGGCTTCATAGAAAGAGTTTGTAAGTTTTCCTTCCATTTCTATTTTTTGGAATAGCTTCAAGAGAATAGGTATTAGCTCTTCCTTAAATGTTTGGTAGAATTCTCCTGGAAAGCCATCTGGCCCTGGACTCTTATTTTTTGGGAGGTTTTTGATTACTAATTCAATTTCTTTACTGGTTATGGGTCTGTTCCAATTTTCTGTTTCTTCCTGTTTCAGTTTTGGTAGTCTACATGTTTCTAAGAATTTGTTGATTTCTTCCAGGTTGCCCATTTTATTGGCATATAATTGCTCATAAAATTCTCTTATTATTGTTTTTATTTCTGCTGTGTTGGTTGTGATCGCTCATATTTTCATTCTTGGTTTTATTTGGGTCCTTTCTTTTTTCTTTTTAATCAAACTGGCTAGTGGTTTGTCAATTTTGTTGATTCTTTAAAAGAACCAGCTTCTGGCTTCATTGATCTGTTCTACTACTTTTTGGCTTCAATAGCATTGATTTCTGCTCTAATCTTTATTATTTCCTGTCTTCTACTGGTTTTGGATTTTATTTGCTGTTCTTTTTCCAGTTCTTTGAGGTGTAAGGTTATTGTGTATCTGAGACCTCACAAAGCCCACATTTTAGCAAATTGATGTACCATCATCTGGGAAGACTGCCAGGTAGATCCCCAAGCAGTCAACAGACCAGAAAAGTAGATGGAGCCTCAGCTAAATAAGCATCCTAAGCCAAACAGATGGCCTACTGTCCAGACCATCTACCACCTGGTGTACATTGCAAATCAGCAGGTCCTGGAGACCTCCAATCTCCAAGATCAATAGGGCCCCACTGGATGGATGAATTTCTAGTCAGACACATGACAGATGGCCCCAGTCAGACTGTGAGACAGTATGCCCAATCAGAGATAAATGGACCCCCAGGCCAACTGGCCAGCCAAATCCCAAGCTGGACAGACAGAACCCAAATCAGATGAACAGGTGGACCCCTTCTGGAGAGATGAATGTACCCCCAACAAGTCAGAGCCTACCTAGATAGACCCTTCCAACCAGACAGACCCTAGTCAGACAGAAAGACCCCAAACCAGATTGATTCTGAGCTGTTCACCTAGTTCCCTAGCCAGACAAATCCCAGCCATTGAGCTAGACAGCAGATGCACACAGACTGCTACTTTGGCATAAATCTATAGCTAATGAGAAAGACACCTAGCCTCACAGACAGATGGACTGACCCCAGACTGACAGATCAATCTGTAGCCAGATCGGCTGATAAATCTTCAAGTAGATAGCTGGAAAAAATGAACTCCAGACAGACTGATTCTCAGCTTTACAAGACCCTTAGGAAGACCCCTGGCTAGACACAACCACAGAC